TGCAATGACAGTCTTTTGTAAAACATTCGGACGGGAGGTTTGGCCGATAGTTGTCTAGTGGTTGGCTGGTGTTCAGGAGTAGGTCACGGCGTGGTTGGCATTTGACTCAAATTTAACTCCAGTTCCACAACATTAGGATTCGAAAGGTAGGCGTGGTCAGACTGCTCCCAAACTTCAGCCGGCTTTGGAGGGAAGCGTCAAATGTGTACAGGAGCTTTGGAGGACATAAATGTTACTTCTATCCGGTTTAATTGTGGTTGCCAAATAGGGGACGTATCGTCGATATTGATCATTACGTATAGGCTTGGGGAGGCGGCTGGAAAGAGTAGAAATCGGCCAAATAGAGAGATAAGCATGCCAAGGGAGTTTGTCCGTTGAGAGAACATTTCGCCGCACCCCGAAATTTGCGGCTACATTACGTACGATACTTAAACCTTGCCTCAGTGCTGTACAGATTTTTATTGTCATCTGTTCTTCTCCCTAATAAATAAGCTAATATGCTAATGGTCTCTAGACAACGTCCTTACGTCAACAAAGTATTGGTTAGTTTAACTCCTAACCACGGGCCACCCAGACCACACCTTTGGTGTTTAATGCAGCACCAATCTTCATTTCTATAACCTTAGGCCACACGAACACTATATCACAACTAGGGGTATAAATGCGAATTTGCAATTGGCAGAGAACTTCAAGAAATGTGAAATGATGTGAATACACACAAAGATGTGAAAGGGAGAATGTGGGGGCTAGATGCTAAAGACTGGCATTTTTGGCGTCTTTACATGTATGTCCTTGCCCTGTATTTAGTAACAGTTGCTGTGTCAATTAGTCTTATATGAACAAACAATGCCATTCTAGCATTTCCTCATAAATTATGCAAATGAGGTCCTGATTTGAATACATTATGTTTAGTGAGGTTCACCTTCATTGAACTTTCAAATACCATATGTATGAAATTCCAGGCAGTTATCATTACAGAATTATAACATTTTCTCATTAACTATGCAAATTAAGTCTTCATTTACATAATCAATATCTGTGTTTATCTCATTCTCAATAACCAATGTCACAAGCTTCAATAGTCCTATGATGGAATGCAGCTGATTTATAGAATTTCCTCATAAATCATGAAAATTACATCTATATTTGCATAATTGTCACATAATTACATCAAGCATCACGTTAGCTACCTGCATACCAAAAATCACGACGATCCGTCAACCGGTTCTTGAGTTATCCTCTTTTTAATAAATTCAAACAGATAGCCCTGCAGTTCCTGAGCAAGCCGCTAGGGGGCCCAAACTTACGCCACTTCTTCCCCAGCACAAGAGCTACTTACCATCCAAATTTCGTCACCCCAGCATGTCTAGATCATGAGATATCAAAACCGGAAGTTCATGATCAGCTGCAGTACCATAACAAGCCGCTAGGGGGTCCAAAATCTAATCATTTTCAGGTCTCATCAAGACCTACCAACCTACCAAGTATCAAGACAATTCATTTAAGCCTTCTCAAGGCCTCTCAAGTTATCGTGTCCCGTGACGGACGGACGGAAGGACACACACATACACGAACGCCTCTGAAAACATAACCTTCTTGGCGAAGGTAATAATAATATCACAACTAAGGCGAAACAGACATTGGGAGTGATTAAACGTAATCTGTGGGCATGTCCAACTAGAGTAAAATCACTTGCATACACGTCACTTGTAAGACCGAACCTAGAATATGCCGCGACAGTATGGGATCCATATACAAAGAAAGACAAAGACAAATTGGAAAGGGTACAGAATCAAGCTGCAAGATTCTGTATGAACAACTATGAACGAGGTGCTAGTGTCACGGAAATGAAAAGAAACCTACAGTGGGCCTCACTTGAAGACAGAAGAAAGACTATGCATGATGTACAAAATGACTAATAAACTGGTGGATGTCCCAACTACTAAGTACCTAATACCAGCCCAGAAGAGAACAAGAAATAGCCATGCCTTCAAGTACCAGAGTTATCAACCAAGGATTGAGGTGTTCAAGAATTCATTCTTTCCTAGAACTATTGCAGAGTGGAACTCACTGTCACCAAGTACAGTAGGGGCATTGTCATTAGATAGCTATAAACAAAGTCTAGAGCTAGAAGTTCAAGGGTTAGGTGTAACAAGTCGATCGGTGTAATATAGGCAGCTGCCGCCGCGCCGCGTGCCTGCGAAGCTGGTGTGTTACGCCGAAAGGCGGTTATACCGGCTATACAGATACAGAAGCTGGTGTGTTACGCCGAAAGGCGGTTATACTGGCTATACAGATACAGAAATAACACTTATTAGTATGGCTATTGTTGTTTAACAATATACGACTCTTTTAAAATAGGACGAATCGATATTGAGATATATCAATAAGGAAGCCTGAACACTGATCGAAATTAGTTTTTGAGTCCTAACGACAGACAATAGGCCTTTTGTGTAAAACACAGGAATTACAGAATTTTATCATTAATTATACATATTAAATGCTCATTTGAATAATCATTTAATCGTGTACATTTCTGTTAAGCTAACTACATACCAAAAATATGTTATTCCTTTCTGGACTTATCCGCGTTTAAATATCTCGCTAGAAACTCCGCTGTAGTTCCAGAACAAACCCACACCACTTAATTCTAACACATAAAATAACTATCTGCCATTAATAAAAATCAAGACCATAATGTCATGTCCAGAACAGAAGATACAAAAACCGGAAGTTCTGCTGCAGTACCAAGGTCAGCCACCAGGAGTCCCACATGACCTCGACCTCTGTCTTTCTAGGACTTACCAACATACCAAATATCATCACAACCCATAAATGCCTTTTTTAGTTATGCTGACTACAAATATTTGGAACTACAGATAGACACACACACACACACACTTACACTCACACGGACACACTCCATTTTTCACGGAGGTTGATAATCTGCCATGCATGTCGTGTTTCACATTGTTCAGGCCTCGAAATTAACTTTTCTTCCTATTGTCCCAGCACTGTCCTCAAAATAAATTTCAATTGTCCTGAAGTAATGATGAACTGTCGCAACCTGTTTTTGGGAAGTATTGTATTGCCTCAACTTGACTTCAACTTTATTTTGCTTATGTTCACTCTCAGGTGCACTATAATTACAGTGTAGACAGGAAATTCGGGGGGGATTTTTCCGGATCCAAAAGCCGGGATGCATGCCTGATCATGATAAACAAAAGAAGGGCTGACATTCTGATGTTGATTATTTTTCTATTGTCCCAAAATGTTCCAAAGTGTCTTTTTTAGTTGTCCCAGCCTAAATTTTAGTGGTCAGTGGCCATTGGACCACATTTGATGTCGAGTCCTGCTGTTATATTACGTCTTTATTTCCAGTAGATAAATTTTTCATTGATCCATTGCAAAGTTTGTCGTTGGCGCGGTGTAAGCTGTGGGGACCAGGTAACCAGGGACCAGGTAATTTGTATGCATAGTCCTCTATCTTCAATACGGAGGGCATAATAGAATACTTCTAGAAAGCCTGTTTGTTGTGAAGAGGTAACAAAGACCTGATATTTCTCACTTATACACGGTGACAGCAAAAAGAATTGTTTATAGCGGCTGCGACGCTGCTATGCTGTGATGCTAGGAATACGAACCGTCCAGACCTTTTACCATTGACAAGACTCGTCATGCATGCGTTTATTCTAAAGTATGCAAACTTGAACCACTTTAATATACGTGAAAATAATGGTTTCATTACTACATCCTCATGTGTTAGAAGCAGCCTCAAGTTACTAGTAATACCGATGTTTGTAACACTTGTTCTAACATACAAAAGGTTTAAAAGGTGCTACAGGTTTATTATGTCTATAAAAATGGAGGTATTAAGTTTGGTGTGTGTGTGTTTCCCCGTGTTTATGGTTATCATAGCTTCATCACTCAGAAGGTCGTGAGGAAGAGAGTCAAGGGGAGATTGTGGGCCGCCTAGCATCTGCCCTCAGTATTGCAGCGACTGTGTGAGTGGGTGCGTGTAATGTGTGTTTATGAGTGTTTGTTTGTGTGTGTGTGTGTGTGTGTGTGTGTGTGTGTGTGTGTGAGTGTGTATGTGTGTATGTGTGTATGTGTGTGGCTGTCTGTGTGTGTGTGCATGTGCATGTCATGTACGCGCGCGTGTGTGTGCGTCCATGGATATGGATGTGTGTGCTTCGAGATGTGTGCCTATCTGTATGTAATTGTCCCTTTTATCGCACCATCACAACACGCTTTCCGAGCCCTTGGTCAACAAGTCATTGAATATAAAGCTTGCAGGCCATACGCGTCTTTGTTTAATTTGTCTCAGAGATGGATTTCATCTCAGACATAAAGAAGTGCCCATTGTTTATACATCTATTCACGTAGATCATCGTTAGGTAATCCTGGACACCGACCTTCTCACTCCAAACTTAACGTTACATGTGTTATCGCTTTGACAGTACAGTCTGTATACAGTCATTTTACATAGAACACAGTCTGTATGTCTTTGTTGTTGGACATGTGACTTTGTGGGGTCGTGTGGCGCAACGGCAACGACTCGGAACCAAGAGGTCCCGGGTTCGAGTCCTGACATGCCACCGCCCCCGTGCCCTTGGGAAAGGCACTTTACACGACTTTCCCCACTAGACTCAAGTGAAAATGAGTATTGTCTGTCCAGTATTCGTTTCTATGTGTGGGACACAACACCAGCCTGTGTCTCACGTGTATTGTACTGTTGCAATTTCAATAGATAAAATGTGACTTTACCTATTTTTGCATACTCGTAGCATCAACATGTGTAGCTAGCTTAAACTACTAGTATCAAAATCCAAATTCGCGCCTTTGCCCTTCCTCCAGCTCCTGCAGTTCGCTGACTGACCGCATGGGGTGACAGGTTAACCTCAGGCTAGGTCAATGATCTCGCTACTCGTACTACGTACTGCTACATTGTTACTGTTACTGTTATTGACACGTCAACAATGTCCACTCTATGGACCAAGCGACACAGGAAGACCCGAAACTCATTGTATCGAGAACGATGTGGAACTGGCCGACAAAGGGTGTTGCTTGTTTGGAATTCCGCACTACTAAACGATTCTATTGTTCCCAAGCTTCAATGGGCGCTGTTCCAGAAAGGTAGAGAAGACACGCCCCGCCAGGTACCGAGGACGATCTCATTTTCACAGACAACGGGACAGTACTCAACTCACATCACAATCAACTCAGGATATCCAGATTTGTAAATATTAGACGAATGTGTCAGTACTTTTGTGTCGTGATTGTTTTAGATTGGTGTAATTGTGGGTAAAATGAAATATTAGGCAGCATGTTGTTGGTACAGTCCTGAATGTGGTTAAACCACATGATGTAATGGCCTGAGGCCTTGCGTGCGTGATCAGTCCTGCGTGTCTCCCTACACAACAAACCGTAAATATGGCCGTGGACGGTGTAACGCTGTACTACCTGTCGGTAGCGTGGCTGTGCTGTGTCGGTGTGACTGTGGTAGGGAACCTGTGGTGCCTGACGGCTGTCCTACGGCACTGGGCAGGTCTGAGACCGGCGGACGTGCTCGTCCTCACCGTAACGCTGGCCAATTTAACGACCGCACTGTTTCCTGTCCTCATGTACGCCGTGGTGACCATACGTGAACACACCTGGCAGGAGCCTCTGTGTAAAGTGTTTGTCTGGTCCCTCCTGTCGTTCAAGATGATCGTGAGTCTGTCTGTGATGATGTACACTGTCACCAGACTGTGTGATAGGAGCAGGTCCAGGCCGCACAGTTACGGTGTGTCTGGGGAGTTCGCCAAGGCCGTGTCTCTGGCGACATGCCTGCTGCCCATGATCGTGTGCGTGTTACCTGTAGCCGGAATAGCGCCCATGATGTCCACGTCGAACAGCACATTGTACACAGACGGACGGTGTGAGTTCTCCCTGGCGGCGACTGGTCTGGAGTACGCGGTGTTTTACATGTGTGCGTTGTTCGTGCTACTGTGTGTGGGTATCGCTGCAGTAGAACTCATCTTTATCAGGACACGGAAAGCAAAGGACTCCACCCAAACAACCAGTGAGCCGCAATCGACTGCCGAAAACTCCGAGACTACCCCAGCGGACCAAACAACAAGCGGGAGGGAGTTAGATCCTGACCGGACCGCCAGACAGTGGGACTTCGCTGCAGTAGGAGTCACTATCGTGTGCTACCTTCTTGGCGATATACCTTTTCTGGTAAGCCATTCTTTACTTGCTCATAACATATCTAGTTAGTTCATAATTACTTCGCCAAGAAGCTTAAGTTCTCAGTGTCATTTGTTTGTGTTTGTGAGTTTGTCTGTGGACAGTATAAGTCAAGATACTTGGAATGTAGATATGGGTGTCGGCAAAAGAAAAGATATCAGTTCTAATATGAACCTCCTAGTGGTTTTCAATGGCACTGCAGCAGAACAATTGGCCTGAGTGCTGATTGACATAAGTCTGCAATTCATGATTTAATCTGCATAATCAATGAAGATATTTCATAACTCCCTTGTGTCCCAAAATTAGACTATACCAAAGATGTGACATATACAACCAAGAAAGAGAAATCGTCGGTAGATATAGATATACGAAAATAATTGGCATAATCAAGGAGGAAAATATGTAGTGATATAATTTCATACTTGGAGTATTTTCTTACAGGTTCTCATTGTACATAATAAGATTTAATTATAAGTAATGCAAGTCGGATGCATTTACATAATTTATGAGGAAAATGCTACAATGACTTTCGAATTCTTTGGTAATACTTTCATACTTTGAACAATTTATGTTATTTGGGTGGACTGGGGATTATGAATGATCGGCTCGAAATGATTAACTACATCTTTGCATAATCAAAGGAATACATTAATTTCTAATATGCCAGTCGCAAAGGTCAACACCATTTGGTAAATTCTAGTTCCGTTTAGAATATATATACGAGAACCACGGGCTTTCGATACATTATGATGATAGGCAGCTATATAATGTAAAATGCCATTAAAAGTTTTTAAAACCTCCCTGCCTTTACAAACCGTTTCCCGAACTAAGGCCACAGCAAGTCAATTTTATGGATGACATCCTCCGCAGACACCAAATCTAATGCGAGCGGGCGAAAAAAAACAAGGCGGGCCGAAAAAAACAAGGTTCCTACATTTTGAAATTTTGACTCAATCATTGTACAAATGGTTTTTACTCAGTATGAACATCACATATACACAGTCAACATCACATATCACTGCATCAAAGTAAGAAACAAAACATTAGTTATCTGCCATCCACCTTCCGGCATGGCAACGTCTTTGCCCATTTTCGGCATGTTGACCACTGTCAGAAGGCAACAAAATTTCTTTTTTTTTTTCCAAATCAGGCGAAAATTAATGCGCGCGCTGATGTCATCCATAAAAATTACTTGCTGTGGCCTAAATACTAGTAATGGCCGAGTCTATATGCCTGGCATGGGCACCTTTGCAGATGGGCTTCTAAGCACATATTATTTTTTAGGTACTGATAATTGGGTTGACTGGTCTATAATATAATAATAATAAGTATAACTGGCCAACTGAATCTTTGAGGTGTTAAAATGATACGTCTAGCACGTCACATGTATTTTTTCTATACCAAAAAATTCTGGTTTACTTATTATTCAAATATACAAAGTGCCTTTCAATGATGGCTTAGAAGTTTGCGTCAAGTCTGTATTATACTTTACACTGAAATCGCGTGACACGACTTAAAAGCATTTCTGTAAATGTCATCAGTATGTCAGCTGTAAATTGTTTTGAATGTCACTCTATGGAAACGTTTACAATGATTTCTATGGAGCCCGTGCCAGACATGACATGCGAGCGGGCCTCACTTCTACACGTCATGGAGGAGACAGGTCCCATGGGAGGGGGGGGGTTTAGAGCAGGTGGGCGTGGCTAATCAATATGGCGGACCCTTTGAGAATACCCAGGATGCATAGCGCTGGGTCGACATACGATACGTTTTTGTGGTGTTAAAAATTAGGTGGCTTATTACAGGTCGAATATAACGGGTGTGAAATTCTTGTGTTTTTCTATCTTGGCCACAGCAAGTAATTTTTGTTGATGACATCAGCGCGCGCATTAATTTTCGCCTGATTTTGGAAAAAAACACAAGAAATTGTGTTGCCTTCTGACCGTGGTCAACATGCCGAAAATGGGAAAAGATGTCTGTTGCCATGCCGGAAGGTGGATGGCAGATAACTATGAAGAGAGGAGACAAGAAAAGGCTCTGATTTAATGTTTTGTTTCTTACTTTGATGCAGCGATATGTGATGCTGGCTGTGTATATGTGATGTTCCCACTGAATCAAAACCATTTGTACCATGATTGCGTCAAAATTTTGAAATGTAGGAAACTTGTTTTTTTCGGCCCGTCTTGTTTTTTTTTGGCCCGCTCGCATTAGATTTGGAGTCTGCGGAGGATCTCATCCATAAAAATACTTTATGTGGCCTAACAGGAAACATGTGGTTTCTAACGTTACTCTCTACTAGTGAAAACGTTATACGGTCTGTCAATAAAAAGGAGATGCAACTTTTTCTCAAAAAAAAAAATTCGATAGATGTTATATTGAATTTCAAAGGAGCAACGTTCATTATCGTCGAATGTCAAACACCACAGGAATGTATATTATTCCGATCCCCTACCGCTTTGGGAAGTGGAATTGTGGGGACGTAATGTGCCTTTAAATTTGCCATTTGCCAGAAACTCTAAAGACTTCAAACATTTATCTTTTTCAAAGGAAAATCAAATCAAACAGAATACCTCAGTGTCTGTAAGAATATTTTCCTGTTCCAAAGCAGACAATGAACTCGTCAATGGCATTATGATGCCATCTGCCCCCAGACAAAGCAACAATCAATCGAGTTATATCGTGCAGTAACAGTACTATATCGACAGTTTAATATCTACACGATTCTACTTATAGTGAACAGGAACTGTGTAAACAGGAACTACTAAATACAAGTACAAAGTAAGAGGGAGTGGTTTAAGACTCCAGTAAGAATAATGGAGATCCTTCAAATAAACAAATAAATAAACAAAGAGTACCATCATCAGAACGCACAAGAGACAATGTGTACATTACACATTTGTTTCGGAGATTTTAATACAATCTCTTTCCGTAGAGTGCTAGGTATATACGTTATGTATATTGACCTAGATACTCGTACATGTATAACTAAAAGGAAATCAAGTCAGGACATGACAAAAGTATATTGAAAATCTCTGTACTTGTCATGTGTAAGATTATGTTGATTTTACAACTGCTTATATTCATTGTCTTCCGTCAATATAGATAGAACGTAATAAAAACTTGAAGTAATTCATCTTCGATATTTTCTTCGCATGTTGCAGTAGTACAACGTCTTTGAGTTTCTTGTATGTTACCGTAACGACATGTTTGATGTTTTATTAGATATCCGTTAGATTAGATAACAAATCTAATCTATTCTTCTTGGATTCAATCTCTCAGCATTTTAAAGCACGTCCGCACATTCATTCCAACATCTACTCTGTTAACTTTGTACAAAACTATATTTTTGCCACATATTATATACGCTTGCACTGTCTGGGACACTGCGCCCGAACGTGAGTTGGGGAAATTGCAAAGGATGCAGAACCGAGCTGGCAAGCTGATTCTACGAGCCCAGTATCTAACTCCATCAGCCGAAGTCCACCGACGCCTGGGCTGGAAGGACGTAAAGTCAATCCACAAACATCACAAAGCACTCCTACTACATAAGGCCCTGAACAACCAACTACCGCCGTACATGCGCCGGATTTTCACATACTGTAGGGATAGAGCGACCAGAAGCACCAGACAAAGCGCGACTGATCTCCTTGCGGTACCGATGCCATTAAGAGAAATATACCGGAGATCCTTAGCCTACTCCGGCTCTCTTGTATGGAACGCTCTTCCGCAGCATGTTAGAGCAGCACCTACTCTTGGCACCTTTAAAAGACTGCTAGTATCGTAACTGACTTTGACTGAACGATTTTGGACACAACGACTTATGAGTTATTTATTAGTTATTGCCATTTTGTTTATTTATTTACTTTGTATGAGTTACCTTATGTATATGTTTTCATTTGTGAATAAGTAGTATTTATGTTATGACCCCCTGACACTCCTCCACGCTCGACCTCTATGAAAAGCGGCCGAAATAGCGGCCGATTAGAGCATGTAACACTGTTACAGATCGAGTTGAAATAAAGGCTCAAACAAACAAACAAATAAAACACAGAGTACACAGATGTAATTACAAATTAAGGCACATAACATAACATAACATAACATAACATAACATAACATAACATAACATAACATAACATAACATAACATAACATAACATAACATAACATAACATAACATAACACTTGCATTCAATGGACTACAACTAGCATAAAACTACAGAGCAATAAACAACTACAGCTACAAAGCAACACGACATTTCCATATCGCTTTTGGGAGGTCAGAGGTCGCTTACAATAATAATATATTCAGCTTCTTGCTTGTGCCAGTACCTTACCACCAGTGCTTTAAGGGTTTGTATGTATCTATCTTGTGAGTTATGTCATTTATGATGTTCTTGAACAGTGTTGGTGTGGTTGACCTATAGCTAGCGTGTGGTGGAAGGTTGTTGTGAGAGTTTATACATCTGTAAACCTATGTTCTTTTGAGACATGATGCCAAATTCAAAGAACAATGGACCTATTCCATTATTACGTCACAGTTTGTTTACCTGTTCTAAAGAGCATTCTAGAACGGTCAGTTAAAGAATAAAGATCATTTCAAAGTTTTCAAAGTATAAAAAGTAAGGTATGTCTGATTTTTGCTGCGTCTAGTTTTGTTGACACAGCATTACATGCCGTAATGGGTGATTTAGTTGTACTGTACTATTAAGGCCTTTTATAAGGCTAACGCTTACACACACCGCGCTACGCACCCCTGTACAATATAAACGACAATTGACCGGCATTCATTGCGGTAAACAAACTGTGACGTAATACTGGTATAGGTCAATTGTGTATGATACAATGTGTGCAATGTTACAGGTGACGAATCTGTTAGACGTTATCTTGGAGCGGACACCAACATGGCTGCCGCCTACCCTGGTCTCCACCTGCCTGGTACAGACAGCTGTTGCACCATGGGTATTCCTGGCTGTGTGTGAAAGGTACCGACCGAGGTGCTGCCTGTGCTGTAGAGGAGTGACGGACAAGGAGCAACAACAAGAAGGTCGGAACTCTCTTTCTTTCCCAACAGAAAATTTTAAACTGGGGCAAAGTTTACATGTTTCTCTCTCACTCTCTCTCTCTCTCTCTCTCTCTCTCTCTGTGTGTTAGTGACAGCCTAAAATGCTACGTCTACAATGAGTACAATGTTGAATATCAATGATTTTCTAGAGAAAAGTGGCTTGTAACGTTTAAGGCGGCTAGTCCCAGTCGCTAGGACCTTTTTATAGGGACCTTGCTATAGAACTTGTGAACTTAGTCCCAGCCACTAGGTTCCAGCTATATAATATATGCAGTCCACACGCACACTTGAATTTCATCCATTTTTTACCAATTATCAAATGTATTATAATACAATCAATACGCATTTGGGTGCCGTATTTTGCCTATTGTCCAGAGATTTCACGATGTTTCATCGTCAAGGCTTTTCGTAGACAAATTTTATACAAGTTTTGAATGTGTGACAGGGAAGGTTCCAAATTTATGACAGAGGTTGTAGACCTTTTCAGAACAGATATGATATAATCCGCAAGTACTGATTTTGGAAACATATCCAAGCAAGTGTAAAGCAGGGATTAAATTTTCCATGCTTAATCTTTTCCGTCTACAGCGACCCGATCCAGGGAAAAGACGAAGCCAAAAGCTTCTGACCACACAGACATCCCCCGGCCTCACTCCAGGGTCACGTGGGCTCAAGATGGCGACGCGTCCGACGACTCCACTTCGTCCGAGGAGGATGAGTCCGCCAGGGGGCGCTCCACGCTGCCCACTGTTGATGAGGAGGACGAGAGGCGCCCAACAGACCCCGCCGCCACGCTAGCACGGATTCTTCTCTCCGCAAAGAAACCAGAACAGTCACCAGAGGAAGACTTGGAGGTAGACGTCAGGCCTAGCGTCTCAAAAAGACATGAACGAAAAGGAAAGGCGATAAGTCGAGACACAAACCAAAGTCAAAGCGGAGACATTTGGATCAGTGGCCTGACTGAAGATATTGTTAATGGCAAGCTAAACGACTCGAGTCAGCCGATACCGACGCCGTTACATGCTCACCAGGCCAGGGACATCTCTAAGCGGGGAGAACCAGACGGCCTGCCGCCATCGCTACTGTTTGACGGCAACAGTGGCGCCCAAATGTCAGCTGTGAGCGGCAGCGGAGTCGTTAAACCTCCCGTGCCGCAGAAACGCAAACACATCCGGCCGCCTCCACGGTACAGCGAACCTTCGCGGTTAGAGACGGCTACTGAAGGCAGGGGATTCCGTCCTTATAAAAAGGACCAATCCTGGAGAAACCGTCACTCAGGTCCGCCTCCACCATACAGCGTCGCTCTGTCAAAACTGAACCAAAACAGAGAACCACACAACCATAGAGTCCCGCGGAGAGACATCGAAGACAAGAAGACAAATTCCTCGTCCTTAGAAATCATCGGCCAATCCGGCCGCATGTCTGACAGCGACACGGACAGCTCGAAAGACCCGGTGGTACCAAAGGTTCGCTTCACACATCCTTTAGCGCTGGAGAACAGAGCCTTCGTCGCTAGTCCAGAGGAGATCACTCAGCTTTACAGTCCGGACGAAGAAGAAGTGAAGGAGGATTCAGAACCGGAACCGGTGACGCCGATTGGTTCTCCGACCTCCTCACACCGGGGATTCATAGCCCTGAAGAGCCTGGACACGAGACTAGCTTCCCAGTACTCAGTCACGGACCAGGGAGAAATGGTTTGGCACACGGCGGATAAGAAGCCGGCCGCGCACGTGGAAAGCAGACCGGGGAGCGAGCCTGCCTCCCCCGGTGCCGTCAGACCGGTGCCCGTGCTCCACACTACCGGGCCCGGCCGCCAGGTCGTCATGCTGTCCTCACTGGAGGCCTCCTGGGTTTAGCCTCAGAGTTCACTCTGAGGTTTGACTCAGGACTTCATGGGTCACACTTGGCGGAAATAATTTATTAAAATAGATGTTATTATTTATCAATAAGTAAAGGTTCTTATTATCATTAATGACTGACATTGTGCCCTCCCCAGCTTGGTCTTATGGTAGCAGAATATATTATTTATGACCTATAGGGGTTTACATGGTTAATGGAAACAAAAGAGAGAAAGTTCAATGCTTCAAAGTTTATAGTAGGGTGCACAAGCAAGCTACACAAATAGAATATGTTTAGGTATAAATACCATAAGATATTCATGTACAAAATTAAAGATCTGAAAGTCAACTCAAATTTGCCGGCTCGTTCCTTTGATGTGTTCATTTAATTTACTTTATAGCTGTCAGAGCCTTGGAATGTGACACAGGCCAGAACTTATGTACTTACTTGTAGGATATAAAACCAATTTCTACTATGAAATTAAACCACCCATAAAAACATAGCAATGTAGTCTATAATTGTAACATTTGGTCCTTAAGAAGAAACAAAACTCCATATAGTAGCCAAAGGCATATCCTTCCTTCCCATATTATGTTTATTTTGCTTCCGACCAATTCCCTTGAAAAGACGCTCGCTAGACGGTTGTGCGACCTCGAATTAAAAACCGAAAACAAACAGTTCTGATACAACCGCTAAACTGTCGTAACATCCTCCAGGATATTGTTTTGTGCAACGAAATGCCGTACAAGGCTTGAGCTTTCAATGACTGTCAATGATGTTCAACTGGACAATTTGCCCCCCCCCTCCCGACAAGATCTAAGGCCACAGCAAGTAATTTTTATGGATGACATCAACGCGCGCATTAATTTTCAGATGATTTAAAAAAAAGAAGAAATTTTGTTTCCTTCTGACAGCGGTCAACATGCCGAAAATGGGCAAAGATGTCTGTTGCCATGCTGGAAGGTGGATGGCAGATAAATATGAAGAGAGGAGACAAGAAAAGACTCAAGATTTAAGTTTTGTTTCTTACTTTGATGCAGTGATATGTGATGCTGGCTGTGTGTATGTGATGTTTCCACTGAATCAAAACCATCTGTACCATGATTACGTCAAAAGTTTGAAATGTAGGAACCTTGTTCTTTTCGGCCCGCCTTGTTTTTTTCGCGCCCGCTCGCATTAGAATTGGAGTCTGCGGAGGATGTCATCCATAAAATTTACTTGCTGTGGCCTAAGACTCAGACAGAAGCAGACCCTTCTGTTAATCGTCCAAGTCCAGTGGTCGGAGGTAGCTCTCCGGTACAAAAGTCAGCACATCTACAGACGTTAGTGAGTAGCAAGGCAGGTGTGGTGTCCGGCAGGCGGTCACGATGTCTCCCCGGTACAGGATGGGTTCCCGGTCCATGTAGGACCGGCGGTAGTCACGCACAGCCATGAACCGGCCTTCCCGCAAGTCTGGAACAAGAATTCCGAGAACTCAGACCTCCAGGAAATATCTTTTCAAAATCTTGTGCAATCCCATTCTTTATCATGCAAAGAAACAGCAGTAAAGAGGTAACGAAAAACATCTGTGAACAGACTAAACCAACCATGTCCATTACAACCTGACCTGAGGAAACGCACACACATACGGACACACGCACGCACGCACGCTCTCTCTCTCTCTCACACACAGAGAGAGAGAGAGAGAGAAAGAGAGAGAAAGAGAAAGAGAGAGACAGACAGAAACAGAAAGACAGAGAGAGAGACAAAGAAACAGAGAGAGCAGAAACAATATCTCCATTTTTCATAGAGGTAATAACAAAGTAAGGTTTCCACAGGTCTACTGTATACACATTAAGTCGGTGTTTTTTTATTCGGTGGTTTAATATAGCAATTGACGAGACTTTATCACACCTGTTCAGGTGTGATAAAGGCACCTATAGGCCTGTTCAGCCACCAGAGACGGTGCCAGACCCCTCCAGTACCAAGCCCATCGTCAACTCAGACGGAAGGAGGCCGATGATGATCACACCATATAAACCTCGGGGCGGGTCATTAACCCTTAGGTAATGTTACCACAGGTCTGTAGTAACTGACGGACAGGAAACATTCACACTTTCAAGTAAGCCACCCAAACAATACTTCCTCATTCGGAGGTAATAACGTTAACACACTGACTTCATACCGCTCATGGACTTGACAACCGTGTTTGGTGAAATCTGGTCATCAAACATCTGGGGTAGAAGTTTATCTGTGTCCAACAGCAGGGGGAGAGAGTCTGTCTCCGCCTCCAACACTACATCAGTGGTTTCTGTATGTCCTACAGACCCTCTATCCACGTCCTGTAGGGCGGAATGGACGGTGTTGACTTACACACTGTTTGTATAGAAGTTTTATAGAAGTTTTATAGAAGTTTTATTGCAAATTCATGCCCGGGGGGCTAATTGCAGATTACAAACATAAAAGAACAATGAAACGTAGTATAAAATAACTAAAATCTACATGATAAAAGGTAGTTGTCTAGAGCTATAGCTATGTCTAAAACTATGTCTAAGGGGTTTGACTTCTCTTTTTTAGACTGTTCTTTTGTAAAAGAACAAGTGCGCTGAGGGCCCCTAGCATCTTGTTCTAAAACTGCAGGTGCGGTTGGGGTAAAATCTTTGAAAGAGGAAAACACAAGAAGGGGTTGACGTTTTGACATGATTTGGGGGGTACGTAGGTAGCTTAGACAAAGATGTCCACACTGAAATTATGCAAACTAATCAAGATAGGAATACATTTGCATAATGATTAGAAAAGTCTATTATAGCAGTGTTTTCAATGTAACGTTTGTTCCGGACATGCTATAGTCTGGTAGTTTGAAACGAAAATGCCTCAACTCCTTAGTGGCAAATAATTACAATTTCATACTTGTGGCATGTGTTGAGGCTAAATGTAGTCAAAATTAAGGTTAACAAAACCATGCACACATTATGTAAATGTAGAAGTCATTAGCATAAGATATACAAAAGTTCTAAATTTTTCCGAATTTTATTTAGATATCATCTATGGTATTAATGTTCTATGATGATGTCAAACTTGTTGAAAAACGTTAAAGTGTTGGACTATTGGGCAACTTGCGGAGAAAGCCAAACTCTAGCTCCTCACTTATTTGTGGATTGTAGTTATGTTACTAAATTTTGGAATGACTTTCGCTTATGGGGGCTCGACACTTTTTCTGAACATATTGCACTAACAAAAACCGTTATATTGTATGGTAAAATTGAAAAGCTGGAAAAGAATAGACACCTGAATCACTGTTTACTTTATGCAAAATATGACATTTATAAGAGTACATCATCGAATAACAAACCTTATTTCCGTAATGCATTATTTCCATGATATTCGAGACAAACATTCTTCGTAAAATGTCACACCTCAAACATGTATTCTGTGTATTATTATATTCGTATTAAGGGGGGCTTGCCACACTGTTTTGTTCGCTGTATGTACATTTTTTGGATAAACGAATAAAAAAACTCTACCTCCTCACGGAAAGGTCCGCCGTCTTCCATCGCTAGAGGCGACCGTCTGTGTGCCTCAGGCGAGCCGGAGCTGTGCCGGCTCCTCACCATCATCTTCCCCTCGGAGGACGCGCAGGACTCCGCCTGGATCAGCTCCACCTGCCGGTGGGACCTGGAGGCTGAGACCGGCTTCGGGCTGTCTCTCTCTGAACTGTCACCCTCGCCTCCCTCGTCCATCTAAAATGGGAAATAATAATAATACAATCCGAAATAGTCCAACATCATTCTGGTTCTTCTGATGTGTGTAGAGTGCTTTACCCATTGTTGTGAATGTGTGTTACAACGTTATAACGTTGATATATTTTGTAGACTGAAGGGTCAACGGTATATTTGGACGGTGTAGGTGTTCAAAGGTTCATGTTAGTTACTCTCCAAGCAGCGGTTTGGGTTTAGGGTTATATTAGGCGTGTTTTTAGGCTTTTCGGTGTGTTTTTTTCGCACTTTTGCAACTTGGGCTGGGTGAAAAAGAATTCCAGTGCAAAAAATAAACACCGATAAAAAGCCTAAAACACGCCAAAAATAACCCAAGCCTATGCTTGGAGAGTACATGTTAGTAAGGTATGGCAGATATTTAATGCATGTCAAGTTCCAATTTTCAATTGTGTTTGTTAATCTACATGTCACAGGTATGGAAGGCATGTCATATTTGACGACAAATCAATCAGAACAGTGCGCACTAACCTTCTCTTGAATGTCGGAGACAATGTCTTCTGCTGATGTAAGATTGTGGTGACATTCTGGTGACTGTGAAAATCGGCGTACTCTTCCTGGCACCCTAGTCTGAGGACGAGTCTGAGAGGACTGTTGGTCGCGTTCTTCTGACACGTCTGCAGTCTGGGGACGAGTCTGAGAGGACTGTTGATCACGTTCAACTGACATGTCTGCAGTCTGGGGACGAGTCTGGGAGGACTGTTGATCGCGTTCTACCGACATGTCTGCAGTCTGGGGACGAGTCTGGGAGGACTGTTGATCGCGTTCTACTGACATGTCTGCAGTCTGGGGACGAGTCTGGGAGGACTGTTGATCGCGTTTTGCTGTCTGGGGACGAGTTTGCGAGGACTGTTGATCGCGTTCTTCTGACATGTCTGCAGTCTGGGGACGAGTCTGGGAGGACTGTTGATCGCGTTCTGCAGTCTGGGGACGAGTCTGCAGTCTGGGGACGAGTCTGGGGACGAGTCTGGGAGGACTGTTGATCGCGTTCTGCAGTCTGGGGACGAGTCTGAGAGGACTGTTGATCGCGTTCTTCGGACGTGTCTGCAGTCTGGGGACGAGTCTGGGAGGACTGTTGATCGCGTTCTTCTGACATGTCTGCAGTCTGGGGACGAGTCTGGGAGGACTGTTGATCGCGTTCTGCAGTCTGGGGACGAGTCTGAGAGGACTGTTGATCGCGTTCTACTGACATGTCTGCAGTCTGGGGACGAGTCTGGGAGGACTGTTGATCGCGTTCTTCTGACATGTCTGTAGTCTGGGGACGAGTCTGGGAGGACTGTTGATCGCGTTCTTCTGGCATGTCTGCAGTCTTGGGACGAGTCTGGGAGGACTGTTGATCGCGTTCTACTGACGT